AGAGCAAGAAGAATGTGGCTTGCCTACAACCTGGGCTTGACCCATCACTTTGTAAATGTGTAAACCAAGAATCTCCTCATAAGATGCTCTGTATAAGACAGGAATGAAAAAACCACCTATAAATGAAGCAGAACCCCAAATCTTATCAAACAGATGAGCTCCTGCAATTCAAGTTAGTTGTCTAGAATGCAACATGCAGCCAGACAAGCACTCAGCAAGACTCTGATGTCACTGTTAAGGCCAGTAAGCAGCCAAAGAAACAATATTCTGTAGACTACAGCATCAGAAAGCCCACCAAAGCAAGGGTCTCTCCCCACAAAAAAAAAAGAAGACAGCAGAGAGGATGTCATTAGAACAATACACATGCTGTAATAAAGCATAGGGTGGCAGCACTTAGTTATCCCTTTAAAGAGGAATCTAATACTACTCTGCCACTGATTCTTGCTTTTCCAATTCAGCACAAGGCACGATGTTCGCGAGTGCCTGAAGCAAGTCTCCTCAGTGACCTGAAATCAGCAGGACTCAGAATCCAGGGATCTCAGCTCCACTCAGATCTTGTGTCTCATGTTCATCACTAATCACGTGCCACTGAGGGCACAGAGACTGTCGAGGAACAACACTGAAGCCATGTATGCCTCCTGTAGCCTTGCCTTGGCCAGCCTCAGCTCTGGCACAGTGGCAGCTGGGATGCCATCGGAGACTAATCATGCAGCTGGAAGGCTTTGGATTTGACCAATCCAAATTGGGGATCCGATCGCACCACTACACACCCCAAGGCACTCTTGGATCTCCCTAACTTTTCCTTGACTCTGAGCATGAGAAGATGCCAGTTAAAGATACATTTTTGATACAAACCTAATAGTAGAGAAAATGGCAATTTATTCTGCATATCAAAAGCAAAGGATCACTTCTACCGCTCTCCACCAAAAGAAAGCACAGCCTATGACAAGCACAAAAGCAATTTAGTATTTGTACACAAAGCAGACTTAATCTTATTTGGAGTCTTCAGACACCACACCAATGAAATAAGAATTCTGGACACTATTATTATCCTCACATGGTTACTGAGCAACTTCTTACTAAAGATAGACATCTGACACTGTCTCCCACAACCGAGTCTTGCTTCACTTACCACTTTGCCTATCATTCACTGCACGGGTACATCTAACATAAGAGTGTTAGCTCCTTGAGAAAACATGAACAATTTAATTGTGTGTAAAATGCCCCACAGACTCCCCTGATGCACCACTCATGCAAATCCATTCCTATTGGGCTGATCCTTCAGGAATCAGACAATAGTTAACACAAGTACATGTCAAGACTCGAGGAGGAGCAAACTTAGTGCAGCAAAGAGAAAATGTAAGCAAGGAATGGAGGCACAAGGTAGAAGCTGCACGGATGTTTTTGCAGCAATAATTAGTGGTCATCTCTAACACAGAGTCCAGAGGAGGTCACCAAGTTGATTAGAGGGATGGAACACCTCTTCTTTGAGGAAAGGCTGAGAGAATTGGGATTGTTCAGCCTGGAAAAGAAAAGGCTTTGAGGTGATCTAATTTTGGTGTGCAGTACCTGAAGGGAGCCAACAAGAAAGATGGAGAGGGACTATTTACAAGGGTCTGTGGTGACAGGACAAGGGGGAATGGCTTCAAACCGAAAGAGAGTAGGGTTAGATTAGATATTAGCAGGAAGTTCTTTGCTTTGAGGGTGGGTTAAAGCACCAGCACAGGTTGCCCAGAGAAGCTGAGGATGCCCCATCCCTGGAAGTGTTCAAGAGCAAGTTGGATGAGGCTTTGAGCAACCTGGTCTAGTGGAAGGTGTCCCTGCCCATGGCACAGGGATTGGAACTAAGTTCCTTCCAACTCAGGCCATTCTATGATTCTATTATATGAGGATAGGAAGTGCTACATGAAACACTGCACAAACTGCAAGATCTCCAGCTGTACAAAGTACAAAGAAATATTCTGAGGACAGTTCTATACATGATTCTCTATGTTAATCCAGACCAGAAGTGTGGGTGTACTGGCAGTACCACAGTACATATTTCACATCTCTGTCTGCTCTGCCTCTTATGTTTTCCCTTTTTTCTTTCCTACATTTCTCTACCCTTAATCAAGCTCCAATTCAGCAGGTCATTCTGTATGACTGAATATTTGAAAATTCTTTTAAAATCAGCAACCAAATGCTCATATTAAATATATCTATATCGATGTCTGTATAGGTGTGTGTATATATACACACACAGAGGCACACACGGTATAAACACACACACAGAGAACATAACCCTAACAGAATTGCTTCCAACTATTGGGATATAACACTACTTTGCCCACCAGATGGCAGTAACTTCAACTTAATACAACCAGACACCACATGCACAGCAAACAATGGCATTCCTTATATTTGGGATTTTCCTTAAGACGGAACGCTGGGTTTTTGAACATGTAGAGTGGAGCTATTCCAGTTTCCTTCTATTTAATGACAAGCTGTAGGATGAAGTGTTGTACTACCAGCTAAGTTCAACACTGATCAGTGTATCCTATAAAGTTGTTTCAATTTTTTTTTTTAAACAGATATCATTTCATAGGGGTTTTTTTCAGTATACTGTAATTTTCTCGAATTTGAGAAGTGCAGGTGTTATTCCCAGTCATTGTCTTTTTCCAAGAATAACTTCCAAACAGAAATAAATGAGTAACTTTCAATTGTATAATAAACAGACTTTTACAGTACATGCTAACAGTTAAAAAGACTAAAGGACTCCAAAAAAGGGGGGAAATGGAAAAAACCTTGTGCATAATTGTTTGACAAAAATATGCAGTGTGCAGATTTCTTAAGGTAACATCTACTGCAAAAATATTGCAGGCAGTACATACTATATTACATACAGGCTAAATCGCCTTTAATGTGGGAGCTGACAATTGCTCCTACTGGTAAAAGCAAGAAAGTTTTCTCAACATAGTCCAGGCATCATAAAATAATGTAATCTAGTGGATGGGGACTGCTCTATAGGATATCCAGCTATAGAAGCAACTAATCATTGATTCTAGTCAAAAGATTATTGTTGCTCTTTTTATTTCTTTAACTTCTCCCATTTTTTAAAAGAAATTTTCCAGAACAAAATGTCCTATATTATAAAAAGAGGACTTCACTCCTATACTATTAATATTAGTATTCAGAATTATTAACTGGGTTTTTATGCATCTCTACTCTGACTGCAAAGATAATATCAAAAGTGCACATTCTTATTAATAAAACACACTCATCTTCCAATAAATTTATGACAAAATACACAGTCTGTTTGGACAGCTGGCTTCCACCATCCTACAGGCAGGGATTCAAGATCCTTTCTTAGTTTCATGATCTCTTTTTCAGCAGAAAGACAAAGTAGAGCAAAATTTTCTCCAGATATACAAAACAGATAAGTATGGTAATGTTAAAAAAAGACCAAGAAAATAAAGCAAAAAAATTATCCAGGCTTTATGGGTAAGCAGAAGATTGAGGGAAAACAACGATGGCAAAGAAGAAACTGGTCTCAGACACAGAAAAAAAAAATTAAAAAAAGAAACCAAGACCTTAACAAAAGATTTGCAATAAAAGGAGGAAACATAAGCAGGAGGGTAAGAAAATACGATTGTGAAGCCTTTGGGAAGAGAGAGAAGGAAAGACTAAGTGTGGCTATCAGGCCTGGCTTTAGGAATGCCACCGTATGCAAAAAGCTAGGTCTCTGCCACCTGCTCCAGCTGAAGTAGGCTGGTGAAATACTGTTTTTCAAGAACACAGCGATATGCCTACTTTCTACTGATTAAACATTAAGCAGCCAGGCAGACTTGTTTTTCACACTTACGGCTAATATTCGTAAATATTTCACTTTTAATAGCCAGCTCCTCTAAATAAACCAAAAAGGTAAAACCTTTTTGGTAAAACATGGATGTGTACTAGACCACCAGCAGCCCAAATTAGGGTCATTTTAACTGATGATAATCTCTAGATATAGTATAATTCAAAAAACCTTTCCATAAACTTTTCATTATGGCTTGATATTCTTCTGAGATCGCACATTCACATCTGCTGGGAGTATGAGCAGAACCTACCATAAAACTCATTCCTAACATCTGAAGGGAGAGGAAAAGTAAAGGTATCAAAGAATTTTGAGTATGAGCCTGTCCAAAATGGTTTGAACTGGAAAATGCAAACCTGTGTGAACAACCATGCACTCAAAATCCATCCTTAGATCAGAAAGAGAAACCAAGTGAGTCATTGTTGAAGGGAACAGAGTAAAGCACAGGGGTCTATCGTTCAACACAAGGGCCCAGCATAAAAAGTTAAGCACAACCCCGTGATGTTCAAAGCGCTGGTGAAGTAGGAGTGACAGGCAACTGCTTTTTCCTCCAACTGCAGTATCAGTAGTAATCCTACAGTCACGTTTAGGAAAATTCTGTATATTTTGAAAAGGATATGGGGAAAAAATACAGGTAAAGGAAGAGCCACAACTACTGGATACTGGGCAATGTGTTATGGCGAAATTTTTAAGAGATATCAGATCTATTTTAGCTGACTTGAACAAATATGTAGCAGTGATTACAGGAAAAAAATACCATCTATGGTTCAAAGCTAAAGCTGGTCAAATTTAAATTAGGTGAAAGAAACAAATCCTGATAGTTTGTTTCAGGAATTAAGCATTCTTGCTATAAAGATAAATAGCAATTAAATAAATAATTTCCTGCTTCAAAGACAAAATACAAGGGAGTGACAGCACAAAATGTAAAAACTTATGAGTTTAAACTACATAGTCCAATGGCACATTCTGATTTGAAACACAGCCCTGTTCTGTGTGAGGAGGACCATGACTGAGCTCCTTGGGAGCCATTTCAAACACAGAGGGAGTGTCTCCTCCCCATCCTGGGAAAGCCACCACGGGATGGAGAACCTCAGCACTGCCCATGGCCCCATGTACACTGGGTGACTGGGATTCTGAAACTTTGGGTAGTTGCCTCAGGGCTTACCTGCAGCTCATGAAGTGGCGAACACAGTCCTGTTGAGACAGAATGGCAGCTGCACACCTAGAAAAGATGTAGGGCATCAGAACAAGGATACAGGACTCACTCGATAAACTAGTTGAGTTTCACCCGCTATTTTAAAATTAACCCCGTTTCAAAGAAAGACATAATGTTATCTCCCAGAATTACAAAATATAAAGACAAAAAAGAGGAATCTTTTTTTTTCAAGGCTTGATGAACTTCAACATGTTAAAAAAATTACGGGAATTGTCATATATCAGCAGCTGAAGCGACAAATTAAGGTGGTACCATGACATCTGTCTTGCAGAGCCCACAGCCTTTCAGCACATCACAAACTGGGGGCACTCTTGCTGGCTGGACACTCAATTGCATACTTACCTATGCAAGTTAATTAAAGTCATGATTTTATGACTTTTATTTCATGCCAACCAGCTTGAATTTATGCACAAAACTTATAATTTTTCTCATTTGTTCTAACTTCTTCACAGCAGACACAAAGTTGTGTTTAGCAGAATATTTAGGGAAAGTATTAATCTACAATCACATGTCTAGCACAGTAAATACAATAGCAAGGGAAAACACGTTTAGCAGAAGTACTATGCTGGGAAAATGTGTTTAGCTTACACAGTAAGAAGTGCTTTGAGCTATTTGTTATCAACATATCACATACAGTGCTTTCCTTTCATTAACATGGAGTTTTTCAAGAAGAGGGATAAGTTAGTAAACTTGTTACACTCAGCAAAAGCGCAAGATTTTTAAACGAGGAACCCTTCAGTTTCTCAGAGCTCAATTAGTATTAATTACAAGTTTAAAGAAGTACCACAACATATTCACATTGATAGTATAGGCATATCTACAGCATAATTACTGTCACTTCAATAAGTGCAGTCATGCATGTTCATCCCCTTCTAGGATCAAAGTGGTGGCATTTCAAGCCCAGGCTCCTGCTATCAGAGGCAACCGTGTTTCACATTCCTTTCATAAATGTATCATTTTCCACCTTGCAAACAGTCAGACGTGTGTGGAAAAACAAAACCTGACCACCTTCTTGGGAGACTCCTTCAGAACTGCTTTGATGGTTGGAAATCTTCTAACTTCCAGTCTGATTTTCTGCCAATTATTTCTGCCCCAGCTCTGTTCTTCAGATTAAATAATTGTTCTCCTTAACTCACAGTTGTCCTCTCCTTTTCTCTTGGCCTTTATTTTACTCAAGGGAAATAAAGGTTTTAGTATCCTCACAATAACCACCTTTCCCTTCCCCCTATTTGTTTTACTCTCATTTCTCTGTTTGTTACACCTAAGTTCACGCTTCCTGTACCTGGGCACCCTGAATGCTTGGCAGTATTCCTGGGGAGGCTGTTGTGGTGCCTCTCATGGAGGCGTTAATAATTTTATTTCATTACCTGAAAGGTCTAACTTGGTACATTTTTAACTGGCATAAACCTCTTCTATGGACATATCAGATCACTGGAACCACAGTCATTTTGGATTAAATTCATTTTATCTAGTTTTAAGCAGCATCTCTGAGCTAGTCACTGCAGGCCATCTCAGAATTAGAGAGACATTTCACAGCATGATTCATCTGACCTGCTTTCAGAGATTCTGACTGGGTGAAATCTGTTGTGTCCTAGAAATACTCTTCACTGACCATGTCTAAACAAATACCTCAGTTGGAGAGATCTATACTGAACTCACTGAACAGCTTATTTTGTTGTTTATTAATATAATCCTTCATTTCCTTTTTAAAAATCTTGAGATATCAGATAATAGCAGAAGCGATCCTAACCATATATATAACTAAGTTTTCAGACTTCCATCCTATTTATATTCCTTGCACTCTCCCAGTTGTGAAGTTTTCTCTGGATTATTCATTGATGGCACTTTTGAATGGCATATTGAAAATGGCTCTTCTAGTAGGCCTTTAAAACTCACAGTAACTAAAGGTGGCAGAATTTCCTCTCAAAAATCAAGTGCTTGTGTAATGATTTGACAGAATTATCATTTGACAATTGTTATTCTAGTCTGGCATATGAGCAACAGCTACTTTAGGAAATCAGATTGTAGTAACATTCAGCAGCGAAAACAAAATGCTGAATTTTGATAAAATAAAAGGATGTAGACTTGGGGAAGTAGGTGGATGCTTTTTGTCAATCCATCTCTATCAAAGCTCCTAAACTACATCTTCTAAGCAAGATGCTTGAAAAATCTGAATAGTAAAAGTTAAACATTAAAATCAAACAAACAGGTGCAAATATGTATTTCTATCATCCTCTGCAATGGAATAATTACAGAATTTTGCTTCACAAAGAACAAATTAAAATCAGAAGGAATTTGATACTCTCCCTCACCTCCATAGACAAATCAATGTAGTTACTGTACTATATAGTTTCATAGTGGATTTATATTTAAAAATTTACTGCTTTTGAATCTTAAGAATTTACCTTAAATCCTCCAAATATGAGCTATAAAATGGGAAAAGTGTAACCACTCTACCACTGTTTCTTTGCTTTGAGAGGGAAGTGCTAGTAGAGATAAATAAGTTTATCCCAGGTTTTGCAGCAAGTAGCAGGCTGCTACTTGGATATTTTGAGAGTTTTGATTTGGCCAGTACACAGTCATGAAGGTTTTCTTCACGTCACACCAATCCTGTTTACATACAAGCATTTGAACAATTCTTCATGTGACACAAGTGTTTAGACAAAATTCCTTATGAGAGGGGATAACTGGTGAAAGTTTTCATCCAAACCCAAACTAAATACAAATTACAGAATATCTGGAAGATTGCTGAACACGAGCATGAACAATTCAAAACTGAGTTATTTACCATAGCAGAACTAACTATGAGTACTTGTAATCCTACTTGGTGCTCGGAAACCAAAACTCAGAATAAATCTCAGAAAGGTGAAGATCTAACAACTTCATTCCTCAGACCAAAATACCAAAAGGATTAACTTCCAGATAGTTCAGGCTAAAGGAAAAATTCATGGACAGGAGGTCCATGAACAGATACTGAAGGGTAAGGCAGGGGTGTCCCATCCAATACCACAAATCCAAAAAAGATGGATGTCAAGAGAGTACAAGGGAAAAGGATCCCTGAAAGCAGAGAGGCACATGTGCTATCCCCCAATTGAATGCCCTGTTAGCACTGTCACAAAATAAGCATCAAGGTAGATGGACCATTAGTCTGGCCCACAAGAGTATTTCTTGAATTATCTTGTTCCGTGAATAAAAACCAGACAGACTTTGGTAGCACCTTAGGAAAACTCAAATAAAAATGTGGGGGGAAAATGTCAATTTAAAATTGTTTAACAGTACAACCTAAAAGTGAGATCACCTAGTCAGAAATAATGAGTGAAGAAATACCATTAGTGTTCTCACACAACACATATTCAGACCCAAAATCCCTGCCACAGCAGGTTCAAAGGGATGTCATCTCAGAGAAATATGATTTTTTTCAGGATGTAATTCCAGCTACATTTAAATGTCAGACTATCAACCATCTTGCCCCTCATAAACCAAAAATGATCAGATTTTTCATTCTCTATGGAAATTCTACTTTCTTAGGCCAGAATTCTGATAGACGTTCTTGGCAGCAGCATTTGTTAAGCATATATGCTGACCTTTTCAAAGTTCCCCTTTTTAAAAAATTAGTGTTCTTGTTTATCATTTTGCTATGTATTCTTTCAAATACTGCTAAGCACAAACTTTGGATGCTCACTCGAGTTTGCAAAGTTCCCTATTCATGAGCGTACAAGCATTACAAGACTTGGAATTCTTTCTTGTCAGTAAAGCATAAATTCCAGAGCTCTTCAACCAATGCAAACACAGGGGAAATTTCCATCCTTCTTCCTGAAACAGGATGTAATAATTCTACCAAAGGTATATCTGTATATAAAATAGCCAGTATTTACCCTGAGAACTCCCTCTTTCATGACTATTTGGGAGAAATCAAATATGAAAAAAAAAAGTAGTGATTTCCCAGACAACACAACATTTTAAAACCAAGACCAACAGTAGGTTAGACACACTCTGGTCCTGTTTGATTTTTTGTTGCTGGAGCACTTCCCTACGAAGACAGGCTGAGAAAGTTGGGGTTGTCAGGCCTGGAGGAGAGAAGTCTCCTGGGACACTTACTGGGGCCTTTTAATATTGAAGGGGTTTGTAAGAGAGGTGTAGAGGGACTTTTTACAAGGGCCTGTAATGACAGGGCAAGGAATAATGGCTTTAAGCTAAAAGAAGATAGATTTAGGTAAGATATTAGGGAGAAATTCTTCACTATGAGTGTGGTGAGACACTGGAACAGGTTACTCAGATCAGCTGTGGCTGCCCCATCCCTGGAAGTGTTTAAGGCCAGGTTGGACGGGGCTTGGAGCAACCTGGTCTAGTGAAAGGTGTTCCTGCCCATGTCAGGGGGTTTGGAACTAGATGATCTTTAAAGTCCCTTCCAAACCAAACTATTCTATGATTCTATGACAGTTTGGCATGACCAGACCTTAGCAGCAAATATTTTAGCCCTCCAGCATATCACAACAATTGTGATCTTAACTTAGCCAGGCTCTACACAAGAACAAAGCTCTTATTGCTGTTGTTCTGCAGGTCTCTATTAGAAAGCTACAAGAAATATCAGGTTATTTCAGATTAACATTATTTAAGTAATGCTAAAGCTTTCCTTCTTGTGAACAGAATACCAGCATTAAAGGGACTTCTACTTATCAATATCAGAGGCTCATAAAATGGCAGTATAGAAAAGAACCTTATACACTTGAGATGCTCCTGGAATCAGACTAATTTTCATTTCAAAACATCATAGAACTATGAGTGAGAAAATGTGCCTTTCTGGTCATTTGACTCAGAGTGCATGCTGCATCTGTTATTTATTTTCAATGCATTTGGAAGGAGACTTCAGTAAGAGGCAATTTAATCAGACTTTCTAAGGCTTTTTGTGGTGGGGATTATAGACTAAAAAGAATATTCAAGAGCCAGGGAGACTTAATTTGTTTAGTATCTTAAATCGAAGTTGATGCAGTTAGTCATTCCCAAGT